AAATAAACGTAAAGGTTATTGGTACTCTATGTATTCTGAGAACTTAAATTAGTTTTGTAAAGACCTGAAATGTTAGCAGGTTTCTTATTTTACCTGGAGAAGCATTTCTTACATAAACATCTTATTTTCAGGTGCTTTGAGCCCATTAGCTGAAGAACAGTTGTCAAAGCAGGATTTACTTCTCCTTGAAATTCTGAGGTTCTTATGCATTTGTGTAACTACACCCCAAATTCAGACCCTGAGCTTCCGAGCCTCTGATGTGCGGAGGAAGCTGTTAATGCTCACTGATGGCACTGTCTTTGATAGTGCTAAGCCTCTGCATCTGCACATGGTGAGTGTGAGCCTTTTCTTACAGCAGACCCACCTCTGCACTTGTACTGGTTTTAAATTTGTATGTTCTTGTCAGTTGTATATTCTTTTCTTTCTCTTGTCATCGGTCCCTGAGAAGACATTCAGGTGGTGACTTTCACTGTTTTGAAGTGTGCTGTGGTTGGGCAAAGAGCAGTTAGAATTTGTAAGCCAGAAAATAAAGATCTGAGAAGTATAAACATTTTACTTCTATCATGAATTATTTGTTGAATAGCTAGAAATCATCTCTGTAGTAGAATAGGATCTCTCTTTTAGCTTACAAAGGAAGTATTTTTACTGCCAAAACTAAAAATTTCATGAGCCATATGACAGTCTTTGCATTAAAAGATGGTCAGTCAAGCACGTGAGAGCTGACAATAGATGTGCTTGCTAAGTAATTTCATTTAAGTGTTACTCAAAATGTTTTATTTTTTTTCTTTCTGCTTATTTTCGTAAGTATTATTTTCCATTTCAGTTCTTTTTTTTTTTTCTTGTTCCTCAGTATTTGGTCCTATTGAAGGAGCTCCCTGTTGAAGAACACCCCTTGCCTGAAGACGATGTCCTTATGCTTCTTAGGCCCCTTTCGTAAGAGAGAAACTGTTCAGCATGTATTAGAGATACTTCAGTTCAACAGCTAGAGGATTTGGGGGCTGTTCAGCAATTCAAGATATTTTTTTCTTTCTTTCTTCCACAGTGCTGTGTGTTCTTTATACCGTCGAGATCAAGAAGTTTGTAAAGTAATTCTAAATAATTTGCTTCCTATAGCAGTAGGGTTGGTGCAGCCCAACACACATACTGAAGAGACAGGGGATGCCCAAGGACAATTTCTCACAGTTGTTGGAGCCTTTTGGTATGTTTTGTCTATTTAGTGCAGAAGTATGTTGGACATAAATCTTTTAACTTTGCTGCCAGTGTGAAGACTGTAGTGCTGTTGCCTGTCATGCCGCTGGTATCCTGTGATACCTTTATCCAGCATTTAATTTTCCAGATTTTCTGTGTTAGTTTGTATTTGTAGCAAAGAATCATATTGTCTTAAGGCAGTATTAGAACAGTAAATGGTATGCTCTTGTATGTTAACAAAGACTGATTGTACTCTGAATTAGATCAGTAATTATAACAAATGATAACTTCAGCAACCAAAAATGAATATTGTTTAGAATTGTAGATTATCAATAAAGAGATCGAATCCTCCCAAACATGCCTATGGAGCACAAAAGAAAGAGCTGTGAGCAGCAGATACTAACTTGTTAGACTTTTTTTTCAACATCATTGGCAACTTTCTTGTTTATTCAGTTCTCCCTTATTTTAGGCATTTAGCTCAAGGAGGGAAATGCACAGCACCAGTAAGAGTGGCCCTTTTAAACTGCATGAAAGCCCTGCTTGAGGTAACCTCAGGTTTTCTGACATTCATCAGCATGTTAAGTGTTTGCTTAAAGTGTAATTAAACAGTCCCTAAACATCTTTTGCATACAGCATATTTTCCATTGTAGGTCTTCTATATATTTTAAACCACAATATTCATTTTCTCCAGGCTGATCCTCATTGCAAGTGGGCAATCCTGAATGTGATCAACGAAGATCTACCCGCGAGTGATGCTTTCCCACATTTTCTTGCAGATAGTCATCATCAAGTTCGCATGCTTGCTGCAAAGTCCATTGCCAGGTGATCATGTAGATCTGTCTCTTTGTAAGAATAACACTTCATTTCACTTATCTGGGTGTTAGTTTTGCTGCTGTGTGGCTTCTCTTTTCAGTACTTCTGGGGCTTTAATACTGATGGAATATAGAAGTCTACCAAGCTGCTTTGGTTAAAGTGTTCAAACTTGTCTACAATTCAGTTATTTTGTCATGCGCGAGAGAGGTAAACAAAATACATGATATATAAAAAATATATACAATAGCAAATTTTGCACTTAATTTATTACACAAAACTTGAATAGGAAATGGTTTTCCTCTCAAAACAGATTAGATACATTGTGCAACATAACTACTTTTTCAAAGCATCTTGTGTTTTGAGTAGTGTATGCAATTTTTTCTCCATACATCAAAAAGCTGTAATTGAACTGGAATAGGGATAGCGGAAGGATGTTCACAAGTGTGCACATACACAAGTATGAACAAGTTCACTTTATGCACAGCTACGGGTTGCATAAACGGAAGACATTCAGCACCCAATAGTTGAACTGCAGGAGGTATAACATAGCTACAAAGCCTGGAGCAGGACAGAGTGAAGACTGGCAGACAGTTCCAGTTTAAAACATGGGGACATCAGCTGAAGCTAACAGGCTCAAGATTCTAAGAAAATATGGTTCACTTCTTTGTGCAACATTCAGTTAGTTATTCTGAGTTGGTTATACCTTCAACTATCTGGATGTTTACAGGGTTTCAAAAAGCAGCAAATTCACAAAAGAGGATATTGTTGAAGGGTACTGACTATGGTCACCAGTTGTAACTCATGATCTTCCTAGGTCACCTGTGGTCAAATGTTATATTCAAGGAACTATTTGCATGGCAAGCATATGGTGATATTTCTTAGTGATCTGCTAATAGTCACTTAGACATGGCTAGAGTAACATTTGGTCTGATTCACTGTGGTTTATCCATTTTTTGTTACAGAGACCAAAGTAGGTTTGGCCTTTATCTGTACAAAATAAATTCTTTTGAGAAATGCTTTTTATATATACATCCGTTCAGGAGATGTATTCCCAAAGTACTTCATGACACAAAATGTTTTGTTATGGTGGACAACTGAAGTTTGAGTTAATGCACTGGCAGAGATTGGGAAACTTTTATATGGTTTTAGGCTGTTCTCTGCCATTTTTCCTGAACAGATACTGTTCCTGATAATGTTTGAGGGAAAGGAAGGAAAGACTGCTGTACAAGATAGTTACGAGGAAAATAATGGTATTCAGAAAATCAGAATCATATGATTTGATACACACGGTATGCAGTAATTCTGTAGCCTAAACATTGTGTTAATAATTATTGTTCTTTTTTTCAAGTTTGTTTCAAGATGTGAAACAGAGAGATTCTTCTGGAATGTCAAAACCCCTTCCCTTGAAGCTCCAGCAAAAGGCTTTTGAGAATGCCTATCTCAGAGTTCAGGAAGGAATGAGAAATCTGGTACCAACACCTAGTCATTAGTTTTGCCTACATAAGATGAAAATCTTATGAATAAGATGTCTTTTAAAATGATCATGTTTAGTTTTCCAAGAGCATTATTTCTTTTGGACTTCTGATTATCTGAGATAGTGAAACAAGGTGGTAGTCAGGAAATTCCTTACACATCCAATCAGTCACTGTTTTGCCCACATTAGAAGTTTGTAAAGTTTTTCACTGTATCTTCCAGACTGCTCTTCTGTGTCATGCTATTTGTTGTTTTGAGTTTCATTACTGTAACACTTCAGAATCCAAGAAAAAAGGATCCTCAATATTCTAGACAACATATAAACAGCGATTAAGAGGCAATGTAAATGCAGATTACATGTTTACATAGTATAAAAACTGATTCAGTAAGGTTGCATTTCCAGTGGTATTAAGCAGTGGTTTTTAGAAAACCGAAATTTATGTAAAAATTTAAACTATTTGGAAGAAACTTCAAGTGAGGGAAAACTTTCACTTCGGTGCAGTGACTGGAAATGCAGTGGTGTATATTACTTTGTGATTTCTTCAACTATTAATTTTTCTGAGTGTCTTTCACTTGTCCTCCTTCCTTGCTAGCATGCTAAGGCATGTAAATCAAATTTTTCCATTTTTTTTCCCTCACAGTCATCTGCCTGCATGTCACTTCTGCTGTGTTTTCTCTCCTTGCCCTTTGCCTGCTCTCTGGTAGCTTGGGCTCACTGCTGAGGCCTCATCTCTCTCTTACCTCATTTTTGTCTGTCACAGCTCTTTGTTGTCTTGTCTCATTTCTCTGTTGTCTTGGTGCCTGTTCTGTCACCTCAGCTTTCTGTTGTCTGTTAGCTTCTGCCCTTTCTTTGCAGTTACTTGTTACTTTTATTCAATATTTATCACTTGTCAGCACCATTCCTTAATAGGGATAGAACTGCATTTGAATTACACGGCAGTTCTTTCCTGTGTGTGTGAGGGAGGAGCAGAGAGGAGACTTGTCAATGCTTCCATCCTTTCTCTGTTAAGTGGGTCGCCTTTGTTTAAACTGCTGATACTGTAACATGCACTGGAGTGAATGAGGTATCAGCACGTGTGCTGGCAATGCTGGAGGCAGTGACTTCTAGATGAGGAGTGGAGAAGACAGCTGAGGAAAGTCATTTTTAAGCAATGTGAGATTTTCAGCAGTATTTATGTCAATACATTAATTTTAAATTATTCATGTACATTTATGAATTAGGAGATTGCTTTAACCGAACATTTGTACAGTTCTTCATTATTTCTTATTGAAGGTCAGGGGTGATGGAAGTCCTGAAGACCTTTTGGACAGACAATGTAATGGAAAAGCTGTTTTGCTGATGCTTATAACCATGGTTCTGTGCTGCAGCCCAGTCTGTGAAAAGCAAGCTTTGTTTGCCATTTGCCAGTCTGTGAAAGAGAATGGATTGGAGCCTCACCTTGTGAAAAAGGCAAGTATGGAAGTCCTTTTTATATTTAGCTTATAAATTAAGTTTAAGTTAAAATTGGAATGTTACAAAATGCTTTTGTAGGTATTGAAAGTTGATAAATTTTGTAAAAGTGTGACTAATGTGGGACTTGTAAAGACAAACCTATTCAAATACTCATTTAGTGACCTACGTAGAAATACTGACATCATAAAAGGCAATTTTAGTGGTAAATTTTTTATGTTAAAAGTGCAAATCTAAAATGCAAATACATTTTTATACATTGAAGATTGCAGATCTCATTTTAAAAAAATGTTTTTACCCAGTGGAAGTAAAGTGAGTTTTCCAATGTGCAAAATATGTAAAATGAATGTAAAGTATTGGAAGATGGTGCATGGCTTTTATTTTGAAGTTCACACGAATTTACTGAAATAATTTGGGTTTATACTACAGCCTTTCATGCCAAACATTTTTTTTTAAGTGTACATGTTCTCTTCTTTTTATCCTTTCTTTCTATTCACTGTTTCTTTCTTTTACATAGTTTATACCCTGCAGTAACGTACTGGCTGTCCTTTCCTTGCCTACCAACTCATACAGGGTAGTTGTAGTTCTTTGATTACACTCTTTTGACGTAGGTCAATACAAATAATAAAAAAGTTGCTTATGCTAAATAGAAGCTGAGTTATACAAATATTGATTAGAAGGTGGAGGTGGGGATGACACATGGATGTGTAGTACTGTCAGTTTGCTGTGGCAGCATGTATTCTGTATGTTATTTCTCTCATCTTATTTCATGTATAGGTTTTGAAAAAGGTATCTGACATTTTTGGCTATAGAAGTATAGAAGACTTCATGACATCACATTTAGATTATTTGGTGATGGAGTGGCTTAGAATAAATGACAGTGGATATAGCCTGTCTGCTTTTCCTTATGTTCTTCTGAACTATACTAGCCTTGAGGAATTCTACAGGTAAGTTTGCTATGTGAAAGCAATTTATTTAGACTCATTTGCTATTATGACACAGGGTTTCAAATTTCTAAATGTAGTAATGCATCTGAATTTTGTTATAACATACAGACCTGCTTGGGCAGGTCCAGAGGAGAACCATAAAGATGATCAAGGGGCTGGAGTACCTCCTCTGTGAGGGTGGGCTGAGAGAGTTAGGGTTGTTCAACCTAGAGAAGAGAAGGCTCTGGGGGGACCGTGTAGCAACATTCCAATAATTAAAGGGGGCCTACAGAAAAGTTGGGGAGGGAATCTTTATCAGGGAGTGTAGGGATAGGACATGGAGCAACAGTTTCA